AGAGAGAGAGGTGTGTGTGTGCGTGCGTGTGTGTGTGTGTGTGTGTGTGTGTGTGTGTGTGAGAGAGAGAGAGAGAGAGAGAGAGAGAGAGAGTTTGCATCCGTCGGTTGCCTCCAACTTTTTACTGCATCACTTGTCGCGTTTGTTTTTGCGAGCGAAGCCGCAACTGGTCATCTAGTATGCAATAGGAATGACTCCAAGCTGAAGACCCATCTAGTATGCAATAGTAATCACTCCAAGCTGAAGACCAATGTATGTGACGACGTCGCCAATGCAGACTGCCGGCATAAACCAGGTACGTGTCTATGCGCCTCCCGTCACCCCCGTCTCCCCACAGCAAGCACCGTCCTCCCGAAGACCACCATCACCATCGCTGGCTTCCATGCGAGCAGGCCTGGCTATGGCCGCTTGTGCCCATTGCCACCGCAGTCCCCTCTCACATCTAGCACCCGCATGCGCTATCTGGCCAGTGCCGCAGTGCAGCATCGTGGCCTCCTGCTCTTGCACTGCCAGAATGTGACCCTGGCTGGGCGCACACTTTCCTTTAAACCACCAGTACTTCCAAAAGTCGTGCCCGTTAACGCGCCATGATTTTAGGAAACGTACGGGCCACTACAGGAGTGCCCGAATTCATCCGACTAGAAACATTTCTACTCTATTTTTTTCCGCGGCTGATAGCTGGGCCAAGTACTGGTGGTTTAAGGAAAGTGAGTCATGCCTCCGGCCGGCCTGGGCCTGGCATGCGTGTGCCCAGGATTTTGAGGTCTTACGAGTCTCATAGGAGATTCTTCCATGCTAGGGATGCACCTGTTTGGCGGTGCCAGCAAGATTTCCAGGTTAGAAACCTTAAATCCTGAGGTTCATGTAGGGTACACATTTATGTTATTTGTCAGATGTGTCTTGGCGTTGTTCCAGATTCATGTAGGGGAAAGGCCTCCGGTTCAAGTCCGGTTGTAGGCTCCGTCTCTCTCTGCCTACGGTTTACCGGGCAGCTCTGTTGTCCACTTCTCCCTCTCTTGTTTGACGATATATATGGCTAATGCGAGGATCTGGGTCCTCGGCAGGCCTAAGGGGCCCCTGCTGCAGATGTGCCCGCCCTAAGTGAAGGCGGGCCTAACAAATCACTAGAGGCCCTCAGCTGTCAATTTCGTATGCGGGGTTCAGACAGTTTGCACGTGCCAGTTGGTTGAGGGAAACACAGGCCGAGCAGCAAGACATTCCACGGCCTTCCAGGCCTTTCCAAAAATGCAGGCCCTGGGCGAGAATCGCAGCCTCGTACACAGGCAGTTGGGAGGTCCAACCGAACGGAGGCCCAGCAGCAGCATCAGAGGCACAGCCTCGTGGGGCCTACCAGAAGCTTCTGGGCAGAGGCCCAGGCCAGCCAGGCCTCTGAGAGAGGCAGGCTCTTTCCATATAGGAAAGAGCTCGCTGCCTGGCCAGGCATTCAGCACTTCTATGCTGGCGGCAGCGCTGCTGGAGCAGACACTCATGGGCTGCTGCTGGCGCTTAGAGGCAAGGTGCTAGCGCGTGCGGTCGTGCAGGAAGCAGGGCGCTGCTGAGGGCAGCGCCATAACCCAGCCTCCATAGCTGGATGGGTTTGGACTACAGTGAGGCGCAGGGGTGGTCTTTGGGTGTCCAGAGGGAAGACATGGGAGTAAGTCAGGGGAGAGAGAGGAGATGATGATGATGATGATGATGTGAGGGCACATACCTGGTACTGGCGATGGTCTGCATTGGGCGACATCTTCAAGTACTTCGTAGGCTGCTGACGTCAACAGTTGCATTGTCAATTAGTAGGCAGACTGTAGCTGTGTAGGAAGTAGGCTGGGCGCCGAGCGCCAAGTAGGTAGATGGGGCCTGGACACTCATGTTGGTGGTGGTGAGAGCAATCTCTCATTGACATTGGTTTTCAGTGTTACGATTCTTCATTGGTGTTATATTGGTGCATTTCTACTTTCTGGACACTGTGATACTATCTGGCCTTCAATGTGATTATGCATTCTGGACATTGTCATCTCGCTATTGCTCATTTTCCTTGCACTAAAACCAAACAAATAAAGAATTTGACTTTCAATTTCAGACCTCGACACCCAGCTGCTCATGGTGTTTTAAGATTAGTTTTGGAAATGAATGGAGAGGTGTCTGCACCCAGGCCCTCTGAGACAGTTGCCTGGGCCCGCACCAGTTAAGCTGCCCAACTGTGCGACGTGGCTGCTGTCGCACAGTGCATTCTCATCGCCCTACGGGCCTCCAGCCATGTTGCTCGCTCACTTCTCGTTGGGTGAGGACTCGTGGCCATGTCGCTCCTGGAAAGACCCTTGAGGCTCAGCATGTTGTGCCCACACAGGCGTGGCCCTGCAACCAACTGGCACGTGAAAACTGTCTGGTGCCCCACAATTCAGAAATGACAAAAATAGTGCCCCATTTCTGGAATCAGGCCCGCCTTCACTCAGGGCGGGCGTGCTGCTCGGTGGGGGCCCTTTGGGCAGTGACAGGCCGTGGCCTAGGGGCCGCTGCTATGGCTCATACCTCGCACTATGTATGTGGTGATCGAGCAGAGTTTTCCAGTTATTCTAATAGTGAAGCATCATTTGTTTGTTTCTCGTGTGTGTGTGTGTGTGTCATTTCTTTAGGTGATTTCAGGGGGCCAGAATCACAGGGTGAGAGAGAGCAAGTCGTTGGAATCTGCTGTGGTGGTTCATTTACTACCCAGATCAATTGTTACTGTTCTTGAACAGGATGGCCCATGGATGAGGTATGTTGTGTCGCCCACTCAGTTTTTTTTTTTTTGTTTTTTTTTTGTTTTTGTTTTTTTTTCACACCTCCAGTACACCCGGGCCTGCAGTGCACGCTAAGCTTTTCCGAGCCGCCAGCGGTGCACTCCTTTTATTTTTTGGTTGGCGCTGGCAGCCATTGTGGTCCGGTAGCCCCGAGCTGCAAAAATTTCGGAGTTGGCAACTTGCGATTTTCTACAAGTATGAGGCCGTGTTCTGGCGGTGTAATGTGTGTGTGTGTGCGTGCGCGTGTCTATGGTTGTTCTGAGGTCATGTTTTTGATATGTGCTGTGGTGTACAGACAAGGCACGGCATACACCAGGACGTTACCTATTCATCTCTCGATGGAATTTAGATACACCCACGCTGGGCCATAATTCCAGTCAGGTTCATCCAGAAAAGTCCTAGTGCGAGTACGCCTACAGTTTGTCTGTCTGCATGTCCACTCACGTTTGGTTGCAATAGTCCTGGCCACCATTCCATTAATGTACGTGAGTTGTAACGACCACTCCAAATCGTGTGTAAATTTGTAAACACTGTAAAGATAAAGAATCCTCACGAAAAGGTAACTTGATCAATTTTTGGATATTCTCTCCCTTTTGTAGGAAAGCTGCGTAGCATCGTGTTCGCATCTGGAGACGAACGCTTACGTGTTCGCCCGAATGCGAATGAGCGTCCAAAAGCCTCCGAAAGCGAACATAAAAAAATAAAATAAAACGGTTTTTCATTTTTAACTCACGTTTGGCTAAGAGTTTGAACATGACTCCAAGGCTTGCTTGTATTCTTCTAATAACCCTAATAAAACTTAGTAGGCCGCGGGGCGACTCTCGCTTCTGCGATGGTCCATGTTAGTGTTTTTTGCGACTCTCGCTTCTGCGATGGTCCATGTTAGTGTTTTTTGCGACTCTCGCTTCTGCGATGGTCCACGTTAAGTGTTTTTTGCATCGCTTAGCGTGAGACGTCCGATATTTCTGACGCGCGATTGTTTTCAGTGAGACGTCCGATGTAAAATTATGACGTGCCTGATGCGGCGCGCCTGACGCGTTTGTTTTGTTTCGTTTCGGGCGAGTGTTTGGTTTTGTTTTTTGAGTTTTGCTTTCTTTTATCGTTACTTTTGGAAAAGAGGTCGGGCATTCGAATCCTTCAAAGTAGCCTGTAGTGGCCATCGAGTGGGGGTTTCCGAGTTGCGGTGATTTTTGTTTATTGTTTCTAGTTTTCTTTTCTTTTGTCTGACGCGCCTGACGCAGCGGGCCTGACGTGTTTGTTTTGTCTCTCTCTCTCTCTCTCTCTCTCACACACACACACACACACGCAC